CTCAGAGAATTATAAACAAACGACACTGTATTTGTTTTTTGTTCATAAGTTGCTGGCTATATGTGATAAACTGATAAATTACTCATATTGCAATGTCTAGTTCAACCCAGTTGCTGGATAATCCGACATCTGGATCTAACGCTTATAAGTTAACATACAGCGTTTTTAACACTGTTGCGTTGGGTTGTGTTGGGTTTGTTGTTCTCAAGTTTTTCCTAAATACAAGTTTCACTCCGTTGTACATGTATGCAGACATTTACATAGGTCCATTTAACATTATAATCGCTTTTTTTTTAAACTGCTTAAGCTAATTGTATTCAAATGCAACTTTGATTTTATAAATTACTTTGAATTCATACAATTAAGATCTTAGTTAAAGCTCTATTTGAGTCTTGCAGATACATGCGCGTAAATTAGACATGATAACTTGAAACAGTAGAATTTACCTGTAGCAGTACTATTGTATTGCCATAAGAATTATGTAGGCCAGCATCTTTTATTTTAAATATGAGTAAATTATTTTTTAATCAAATGTTGTTAAATACAAAATTCTCAAAATGACCAACAATGTTCTACCGGGCTGGGTAGGAGTAAGCACTAGGAATAAAGCAGTTAGTGGATGCGTTACAAATAGTAATAGAATTTTTGATGTGAAACAGTTTTGTGCAAATAAATGTCGTCAAGGTGTTGTGACGCGACGCTGCAATGACGAAATTTTCGGGCATGCGCGACATTCGAACATGTTTTTTAGTATTAGTATTACGTATTAATATTTCAGAATTATTATACACTTAACTATTCTTTCTAACTTCCGTAAGCCGACTTATCCGGCTTATTTCAACCTCCCAAGCAATAGACACTTTTGTTCGGCAACAACGACGCACTAGAATGGAAATTATTCTAGAAGAACAGCCAATAATCCTTAGTAGAAGAGCGCCTAATTCACTTGTACTCCGTTCTCAACCAAAGAAGTTTATTATGTAGACGATAGGTTTAATTAAAATTCACTAGAATCAGACTTTTTGTTGTACAGTACAACGAGTTATGTATTCGTCACTTTATTAGAATGACATGCTTACGTCGGTTTGATATATGTGATTCAATCTTGTTGTTTTGTAAAACTAATATTTTATTTTATCACTAAAACTACAATCGATTGGCTATAAAATGTTATTTACAAGTCTTAATGAAACGAAGTCCAGTACAAATTTTGTTCATACGGCAAGAATACTTGGGGTCTTGGTTTTTCTAAAAAATCGAGTTATTTGTTTTATTAATGTGTTTAAACAATCTGGTTGTAGTGTCTTTCACATGAAGAGTAATTTTCTGAGAGCTAAGTAATACAAATAGACTACCCATGTAGTCATTTATATACAGTCAACTCTATTTATACCGGACGGATTGGCATAGCTCTCTGTGTCCATCCGGAACCGGTATATGGAAAGTTTATAAGAGACTCCGGTATAAACAATGAATTTTCATATGAAACGAACAGTGCGCAAGATTCCGGTATAAATTTCCGGTATAAACAGAGTTGACTGTACATGCATTGTAATTTTTTTTCTTTTACTTTACTATCTTACTTATAATTAATATAATAGTTAATTAACGTTTACCTTTCTACTCATCAACGATATTTTTTCATCGGAGTAAGTTACTGTATAAATGTTAGAATACCATTCAACATGAATAAGTTGTTATTGTATAAATAAATAAAAATCGAAAACCACCATATTTATACTATGATGACATTGTTCTCCATTATAATGTTCTGATAATCGTATTACTTGTGTCATAAACACTAATATACACAAAAGAAACTTTAACGGTAAAAACTAATCGATAATTAAATTTAAATAGAGAATGACTCATCTATTGTTGAAATAACTAATTAAATATTACGTAGAAAATAATATGACTGAGATATAATGATAGACATGTAATGACATTCGCATCTCCAAAAAAGATCTACCTCGGCAAAGTCTGCTAACAGTAAACGTGCATTATTTTATTTTTACTCAACTCATATTGACGACTGATCTATGAAAATGGGTAGTTGGTGATTTGGGGTTCAAATTTGGTTTTTGTGTGGGATATATACTCGGGGATGCTACCTATCCTGTGCCTTTTTCCTGACCTCAAACGTAATAGCAAAGTTTTTCACAACAGCAGTTACAAGTTCGGTAGCACGAAGGAATGATTTGCAAGAATCCTTGCCAATCAATAGTAATAAGCGACGCTACGGTTCTTTTTCCTGTCCGTACTTACGAGTCATAAGGCAGACATATCTGTATAATGAAGTAAGAAAGGTTTGCCGATGATTTTTATAACGATATAACTCCCAGAAATTAGATAAGTCTGCTCGTTGATTATTGATTGTTTATATTTGGGGGATTAAAAAAATGGCCCAATTTCTTTGAAGACGATTTTCTGATGATTACCTGTTTTTGCGAATGCATCATTTTCATAGATCAGTTGTCATATTTATTTAATACTAGAACAAACCTACAAGCGCTATAGATTTCAACATTTCCTCTGTTTATGTCAATTACATACGATTTAAAAAAATTCTAACCATTTTGAGTCAATTAATCTAAACAAATACATATAATTAATTGGAAGAGGAGTAAACCCTTGAGTAAAAATCCGCATAAACTGTAAATAAACCGCGAATTACAAATTTATTCAAAAAAGAGTTAGAGTATCTAAATTATAAGAAATGCACGGTGTTAATATTGTAAATTGACTTTATTTGTACCACGTGTAACCATACCTGCTGCTGAATCCATATCATAACTATTTCTTGGTTTAATATTAGTATTAGGCAGATCGCCGGTAGGTAAGAGCATGCTAGAATATTTACTCTCCTTTTCGAGACGTGTTAAGGGTTTTACATCATTATGATAGATAGTATTCCATGCGTTGTCATCAGAACTGTCCGTGCGCCAAAGTGTCAATGCATCTGGACGCTTATTAGGATCAGCATCACAACTCCGCTCGGCAAGTTTCGTGTATTCCTCTGGTGCGGAATCAGGCATCGATGGTCGTAGTCCGCCCATAATATCGCATGCTAAATCTCTATTGAAGTGTCTATCTCTAAAAGGTGGGTTTCCAGTAGCAATCAAATACATAATGATACCAAAAGAATACACATCTGATTTCTGAGTAAATTTGCGAGTATGGAAGACTTCCGGTGCAATAAAGGGTAAAACGCCTCGAATGGTTGAATTTGACTGACGTGAATTCACTGATTGTGAGAGACCAAGATCGCATATCAATGGTGTACTATCATGTGAAACAATGTTCCCGCCATGTAGATCACAATGCACTAATCCCCCAAAATGAATATTGTACAGATACCATGCAATACTATTCAAATGCTGTAATTTCATTCTCCACGTCAACTTGTTTATGTTTTGTTCCAAGTAAGACAAAAGACTACCATTGTTAGCATATTGAATAACAATCATATGCTCTTTGTATCTGGGTCTTGTGTCACTCCATAAATATCAAGGAATGACGATCCGTTTACGCACTTGGCATGATTTCTGAACTATTAATAAAATAAATACAAGAGTCAGATCAAATATCACTTTTAATTAATAATACCAATTATTGCTTACCTCGGAAATAAATAATTCCGGCGTTTTATCAAAAAACCGTTTGAGTACAATAGTTTGTGGCATACGTGTTTCTCCTCCTTTATATCTGGCAGTATAAACTGTTCCGTAACCTCCTGATCCAATTTTCTTAATTTTGTCAAAGTCGCTATACTGCATATACTCTACACGTTCATTATTTTGTATAAATTTATCCAATATTTCATGTACGTTGTAGTAGAAAACTAAAAAATATTCCCGAGTAGATGGCTCCTGAGTTATCCCAATTATCCAAATATTCTCGGGCGTTAATATGTCGGGGTATTTCTGGGTTAGCTATTTGAGTAAACAAATACATAATACAGTCGTTATAACTTGATACATGCATTAATAATACTATTTGCATTTACACGAAATAATTTACCTGATGAAATGATTGATCATTGACTATCTTTTTGAGTGTCACTTCATTTGTTGTCCATTCTGCTATATGTGTGCATCCATGGTGTAATGATGTCATCTTTTGTACGTTTATCAACAGAGAATACTCTATCCATTGTATATGGGCATCATACTTATTCTTCACATTACTCCATGACTCCATAATAAATGAATCCAATGATTTGTTGCCTGTAATCCAATCAACAGGTCTTGGTGCTTTACATTCATAACAGAATGCATTTATTATTATCTTGGGGTTTAATTGTCTTGCACATGCCAGACATAATCCATCCATATAGTCAACTTTTATTAGACAATATTCTCTTCTCCATTTATTATATGTGAATCTGATGGTAACCCAAACATCAGTGGTAAGAATATCTGGATGTTTATCACATAACTAGTGGAAATAATACATGATAATAAGTCCATAATTATTTAAACTATTCAATAAACATGATGCATAAGTAAATGGTTTACCTTGGCATAATATAATAATGTTTATGTTGTGGGTTGTAAGAGTAAAGGAGGGAAAGATAGTGGGTGAGGTGAAGATGAAGTCAATTCTGGATTTGGACCAGTTGTTTTGTCTTTGGTATTTGGTGGTAGGAGGTGAATGCTGGTTTTGGGTCAGCACCTCCTGTGTCGATTAGATCTGTGAAATGTGGGAGAATATATTATAGACCCACAGATCCCCCAGACAACCCCAATAACATTCTTTCTGTTATCTCCTCTCCAAATCTAGATACATTTCCCCCTTCCCCTAACATAAATATATACCAAATATAGGACTTTATTCTCTTCCTCTGCATGTATTGTAGATAGATAAAAACAGCTCAAACTGGGCTTTAGCAAGCACCTTGTTGTGAATAAAGTCCCTCACAATAGTAGTTTTTTCTGGTCACTGCCATGCTCGATCCTCCCGCATCATGCATCCAAGATACATTTTGGCGGAATGCGTTAACTGCTTATGTCTTGTACATAAATATATGTTGCATATTTCCCAATAGTAACCAGAAGCTGATTCAATCGGCCAAATGAGAAATTTGGAAAGTTCACGGAACTTGTCTTTAATCGCTTTTCTATCGCGGCTAATTGTGGAATGCTTGAAGCGATGTCCATTAGCTCCGCATCCAACTCGACTTCGAAGGTATAATTAACTGGCTCGTTAAACACTGTCGCTTGTCCAAACTGCCTTGAAATAACATTATATACTTCGTTTAATTTGTACAGGAGTGGATGAGCTGCTACTCCGAGATAATGGTACATTTCTGTATTGATCGTTTTCCGTTTCTTTCGCCTTTCTCTTGCTTTTTAGTCTTTCAGAACAATGATTGCAAGTTGCATGTTCGTATGTCGGATTATCGCGTCTTGGCCTGCAGAATTCGATCGTTTTCTTTGTTATATGGCAACCATTGCACATTTTTTCACCAGATTCTTGAAGGAATTAATTAACAATGTAAGTAATGACACGCGAAAAGATATGATTAAGTATGTATGTTTAAATACCTTGAGATACGTTAATTTCGCTCATGTTTGAAATAAGAAACAAAATTTGCAGTTATCTTAACGGGAATATCAATAATATACATACACGTTTAAACTAATAACATTCAATATTAGATAACGGAGATTATGTGTATTAAGATATTGATCATGCATTCGATGTGTTTTCTTATTATCTCAAACACGCTTGTTTAGATGATATTATTTCAGTTATATACGCTAGGAATTGGCGTGATAATTATTTTTCCTTGTTTTTACCATCTGTCAGATGGACTACTGATATTGCTCAAGAGCACGAAGAGTTGATATGAATTAATAAAATATATATGCACATATGTTACTGAGGTAAATTTACTAAAATTAGAATGACCGACTGAGCCAAAAATTTCGTATCAGCCAGGCTGGCCAATAAATTTTTGTCAGCCTCCATCTCTAGCTGACATAATATTTCGGGAGTTCCGACCCGAACAATTTCACGTGACCGCAGACTTATCATATGATCGAGTATTGATAAATTCTGGTGTAATGATAACGCTTACCACTCCACGTCTTCGCAGCTCTGCGCGCTCATGAGTAAGGACAAAGGCAAGGCAACGGACACGGGCGCCGCGTCCATGTCCCGAACCGTTAGTTTACTTGCCAACGATATGGCTGATCTCGAGGTTCCCGGAAGCAGTATTGAGGTAACAGAACTAACTTGACAGTGCAAAGCCTCTGAGGATTTCTTGCTATCTTTTAAACCACTCTTTGCATTATGCTATCCTGTTGTAGGCGTCCAGCTCCTCGGCTTTTGCGTCCTCGAGTGCTGGTGCGGTGCTGCCCACAGTTGCTGAAGTCCGAAGCTGGGACGTGAACAAGACCATTGAGCATCTTGAAGAAACTATTGAAAATTTTACAAGGCAAAATGCTGTGACTTTCAGAAAAAATAAAATCGATGGCTATGCATGTCTGGCCATGACAGTACAAGACTTTTCGAGATATGGAGTGGGTGCTGGATTAGCAACTAGAATTGCCAACTATGCCAAAATGATAAAGCAAGAGTGTATGTATCTTTTCAAGGGAATGTGCTTTTGTGCTTACACCACAAGTTTGTTATGTTATCACTGTTTGCGATATTGACTAAATTGCATGCTTCTTACACTTTGGTAATCATTATCTTTTTATGTTTCCACAACAGGTCTCAGTGAATTGGATGTTTTAAGCTTAATTCCACCTGGTGTTACATATGTCCACCGATCAGATAGAAATCCATCTGCTACTACTACAAGATCTGTATTCCGCAGAACACCGATGGAAGTTGTTGAGTGGGATGATTTTCTGGAAAAGGTTGCATCTTACGTGCCATCTGACATACCAATGTACAAAAAGAAGGACTTTGATGAAAGCTATCATGTCTCAACTGAATCAGATCTTTATAGTGCTCTTGATCAAAATGTATATAAGATGTTAGAGCTATTAGCAAGTTCTCGGGAGCGCTTTGGCTCTCACAATGCAATTGAAACCAAAGGAGAACCAGATCGCATCTTTTACAATGATGACCCTCTGTTGCTCCTTGTCATTGAAGTCAAAACCAAGTACACCCTTCCAATAAATGATGATAATGACCTCATCAGGAAATTCAACGAGGATACCCAAGTCTATGACCAAAATCTTGCACCAATAAATTCCACACTCTATCAGGTTCAACAAATATTTGGGTATCTTTCCTGTAATTGCCTTCAATATGGGGTTCTCACAACATACGAACAGACATGGTTTCTGAAGAGAGATCTTGGAAAATTGTATATGTCACCTGCTATCAGGTACAATGACCAAGACCCAACACTATTCCATTGTTATGCATGTATCATGGAGCTTGCCCGCAGAGATCATTCCAATCCATCTGCACCTCCTTCGCCAACACAACCAGACAACTCACCTAGCAATCATGGTGATCCTAATGATAGTGACCATAATTCTCAGAAAAAGTGCAAACGAGGTGGTGACGACTCTTCTGGAAGCAAGCGCAAACATCGTGATGGTGGCTCTTCTGAAAGCAAGCAGAAAAAAGGACGTCAGGGCAGCCGAAGGAGTAAGCAAAGTGGTAGACGAGTTATTACAAGACAACTCTCAACAGGATTTTCTGTAACTGTTGGAGAAGTGTATCTACCAGAATTTGGATGCCAAGACATTCTTGGGGAAGGACGTTCTGGAAAGGTGTTTCGGGCTGACTGGCAAGGAGAAACAGTAGCAGTGAAGATCTGTGACTTGTATCAACATCCAGAGTATGAAGAAGAAGTACTTACAGAGGTTGCAGTGTATGATGCCCTCAGAGATCTGCAAGGACTTTGCATTCCTCACTTCAAACTTGCTGGGTATTATGGTGGAATATTCGTGATTGCAACAGAGATTGCTGGGTTCCCCTTGGACGTGGATAAGCTAAGCCATCACGAGCGCCTGGAAATACTTGATAAGTTATCACTCATTCACATGCATGGCATCTTGCATAACGATATTCGACGGAGCAACATTCTTGTCCACCACCTCAATGATGGAATGAAGGTCTGCTTTATCGATTTTGCTATGTCAAAGCGGGGATGTAAAAAGTCAGAATTCAAACATGAAATGATCCAATTGGAGAAGTTGCTTGGTCTGTCGGTAAGTGAAGCATTGAACACTTTATATATTTGAATTTGGTTCAATGCTCAATAAATTCTTGCAGTATGACAGCCTAGGTAGCATGTCAAAGTAAGAAATTGTGCTGCCCCAAACACACCACTGAGGAACAGCCAAGTTCTGGTATGCCTCAAAAAGTAGGTACTACAGTAGTTGTTCACTTGAATTCATGAGATTAGAGCAGAAGATTTACCTCAAGTGGTGCCTTGATTTTCTAGAATATATTTGCTGGAATACCAAGATAAAGACTTCAAACTTTGCAACTTAGAAGAAGGCAGTCCCAATTAAGGCAATGATTGCTTCCTGAAGTATCTGTACCTTTGCAAATGCAGTACATAGTACATATGTGAAAGGGTAAAGTGTGTGTAGCAGGTACTTTGGGTATACATTGCATGTACCCAGAAAGCTCTAATCATCAAAATAAATTGCTAAGAAGCTATGTTAAAGAATCATTCAATATTGCTAATATCCTAAGTAAGTATAAGAGGTATCAAATTATGTTCACTTTGTCTGGTTTTGTTGCAGTCTGACCCATATTACAGCTATGCTCAAAAAGCAAAATAGTGATTGACCAGTGCAGAAGAATTAATTTCCATTGTGATTGCACAATAGCAATAGGAGTGTTAGTAATTTAAACTCTGTGATTAATCAAATAATAAACAGACAGTGTCTGAGTCAGATATCAATGTCAAGTCAAGTTTTATGGTTATAGATTTGGAGAAATGGGGTTTTCCAGACAAAAGTGGATATTAAATATGATAAAGCCAGCTTTGTATATTGTTATATGACGAATTTAATAATAGCATTTAAATAACGATTTATGATTAATTAACGATTAATATTATTAGTACATCAGATGATCACTTAAATGTATTACACAAACATGTAAATATCTGACGTAAATTTAGTGACGTTGAATCAATATTTTAGCAATAGCTACGGATTATTCGGATTTTAGAATAGCTATACCATAGTAGCAATTTAGATATATAAACAACCAAAGTTTGAATAGTTTCTGCACCTTTTCCACTTAGGATTTGGTCGAAGACTCCATTGGAATAATGGAATAACTCTTACGGTGGAATAATACTTATAGGATCGAATAATAAATACGATGGAAAACTAATAAACTTACGATTTGAAATATTCAACTGGCGTTCACTATGATCTCTAATGGTAGAAACTCAGTCAGGTAATCTCTAGCTTTCGGCATACATTGGACTCATTAAAGTTTACAGCGTTGAGAGCTTATACTTAATCAGTTGTACGAACGATTATCGAAGAAATCCTAGCAACGTCTCAATAATACGATTATACCTAACAACAACAACAACAACAACAACAACAACAACAACAACAACAACACCGCTCCGTACAACAATATTGCTAGAATAAGAATGCCAGTTGCACACAAGACATGTCTTTATTAAATACAATCAATTTCAACTTCTGTCAATACTATTCAAAATGATTTTTTAATTCACATAACATCATATATGGGGCAGACTGCAACAAAACCAGACAAAGTGAACATTTTTATTATGTGAATTAAAAGAGGCTGATGTGGCTGGAAACATTTTGCTTTAGTGGCACAACTGTGGCTCAGACATAAATTAATAAACGTCTTAAATCTTTTTTTTTAATTAAAATCAGCACACATGTTTGCTAAAAATCATAACATGCTTATAGGATTATGTCTATATAAAAAATATAAATATGAAATTAATTTACATCAAATCCATCATGGAACCAAAGAATTATGGCACTATTAGAAGATTCTAAAAAAAGCCCGAGGAGAAAAAATTGCGCCTTATTATTATGTTTTTAAAATCAATGACACCCAAACACTCCAGGAATATCCAGATCAAGCTTATTATTATGAAATTTACCAAGAAGAACGAAAAATAGTAAACCATAAACGAAACTTAACCCTAACTTATGATGAACCAAGAAAAAAACGAAAATTAGAAGCATAAAATAATAATAAGACTTTAATGTAAAGAAATGTTTCAAGTGCTTATTTTGATATCATTGATTATTGATGAGCTTTTTCCTTCTTAGTGTCCAAAATACTAGAACTGTTATTCCTGATGTTATTAATGTTCGGACCCATTCTAGGATTTGACCCATTCTGGGATCCTGAAATGGGTTGGCCCATTTCGATTTTTGCGATGT